GAAAAAATGCACTTATTCTAGTCTACCATTTGGCAACAAAATTACCGATTTTTTTAGTTTTTTGACAAATTGTTGGTCGGATCGACCCGCAAAAAATATACTGTTTTTAATTTTACAATTATTTCATGACTCACGAAGTGTCATGAGTGTTCATTAATTTTCCTGTGTTTTTTTTTCAGTTTTATGAATATTTGAAAAGTTCAGAAAAAAGACAGGGAAATTATTGCACGACAGTTTTGTCAGTTACTAGATAATGTCAATCTTAACAAAAATTGATCAGAAAACACAATCAGCTGTGCATTGTGGCCAAACGGGGACAGATTACCCTCGAGGGGTTATTGGCGACATCTTCTCATTTTTCATCTTCTCTGTAATGTTCGGGAAAACCGCGGATAACATTGACTTGACATAAATATACCATTTTTAGTCTTATCATTATTCAATTAATTTGTAATTATATCATCATTCAAATTATAGAAATGAAAATAAAGTGCTGAAATTTTTAATGACGTCTGAAGGCCATCATGAGCATTGAAAAATTAAATTCGATTAAATTTCCAATAGTAGTATACTTTCATCGTCCTGAAAATGAAAAATTAATTAAACCCATCAATAAATTACCAGATTCTCCAATAAGAGCACAAATAATTCGGTAAATCTAGAGGAGTAAAAAATATCACGTTCTACTTCGAAATATCAAGAATAATTTTCTAAGTGGAACCCAGCAAATTTCATGAACTTATTTCTCCATCCACTTCGTGCGCTTTGAAATGTTGTTTCTATATTTTTTTTACTGTATGAAACTGATGTTTCACTCGGCGTACATAATTTAATAAATGTAGTGGACCCTACGGACGAAAGCGAATAACGAGGTTTGTACCTGGAAGAGTCGTCATCCAAAAATAATACCCGACGGCCTTGTCGACGAGTCGTTGACCAAACCACTGGTAGAATGTGAACTCTCCACCCGCATGTCCCCAACTCAGATGACACAAGGCGATGACATTAAACACCACTGAAATTAATATAGATCTTCTCAGAGAATTTACCTCGATCAATATACCATTCCATGGATATCATCAATTGGCAATTATTCCACCGGTAAAATAATCCCCTGTCTCTTCCTCCCTTTCAGAAATTTGGATATCAACTTGTGAGATACAATAAAAACGCATTGAACAGCATCTGGTGCGCCGAACAACTCCGTTAAAGAGGGAAAAGCTCAGAGCTGATCTTTTTAACGGAAACCCTGGCTGGAACTTAACGACACTTGACGAAGGTTTAAGGGGAACGAGTTCTGGCCAGAAAAGCCTCGTTAAACCACGTCAATGCTTTAATGCTCACTGAAGACACTTCAGAAGTAATTTAGCAACGCCGGGCAACCCACCACTCACCGGGTGAATCGCACTGGCACGTTTCGAGTGAATGCCACTCCTTCACGTGCCCATGAAATAAAAATCTCTCAATTTCATCTGCATCTGCCCTGGATAAAATTCAACCCGTTAATTCCTGATTAATAATGCTCCTCATATCATCTTTGTAAAGGACAGCGGGGATCGACCATTTCACTTTGATGTTTAGAAAATTTATGTATTTTTCCATTTTTAAGGGATTTATTATCATTCACAAGACAAATTTACGTGAAATTAAATTTAGAAAGATGGAGAAATGAGGAAACCAGTCACTTTCCACCTCCGGAAGTCTTAGATCAGTCCCCAGGTGTCAGGGTGGAACAAGTGTTTTCAGTTTATTATGAATTACTGTTTTTTAGGATTTTATCATCATTAGATTGAAAATATATCTTCTACATTGAACGTTGAGATGTTCTCAAGCATGCAGATGATTCCATCCCTCAAGCCATCAAGGGTGAGGAAAAAATGTCGGCTAAACGAACGTCAAAAGTTTTTCCAACGGACAATCTCTCATTTTTCTCAGAATCCCAAGGGGAAAAATGTCGAGGTACGTGATTCGTCATTTTTAACTTTCTTCAGAAGGTGTGGGTGCCGGTTCCCCTATCCACTCGGCATCAGGCCATCTCCTTCCAGTCTTTTCTCAGGAATTCAACGCTCTCGGGATATCCTCGATGGACGCGACCTTCCATTCCTCCCACTGTCCCAGGGCTCATTCTCTCTGTAATCCTCGCCGTTATTCATAGCTCGTGCGCATTACCAAAGTTCCTTAGTAGGATTACCCGCGAGAGTGGTAAACCTGGCGCGAAGAATCGCTGAAAAAGAGCAGCAAGCCAAACTTTTCATCTAACTACAGAATTTCTACTTTCTTATCCCAACGAAAATAGTCAAATGCTTCTTCACTCACTCTCTTGTGAATGCCCTGCCCATCCCCTACACTCACTTCATCCTCTCGTTCTTATCCCCAGTCAAAATTATCAGTTTATCTCGACGTGAAATAGTGCTAATAGAGCTGGCGTTCCACTACCAGCATTAAATCATCAACTTTCACAAGTTATATGAAAAAAATTAATTATTCCACGAGATTGTTTGTTTGATTCAAGTCGAACTACTGACTCTCATTCAAGAGTCTATTAAAAAGACGCTTGAGTAGATTTTACAGTTCAAAAGATTGAGTCAAGGCGGAAATTCTACTTGAATAATGTTCAAGTGAATTAATTCACTAGATGAACAATCGACTTTGATCAAGTCCAAGGCGATTCACGGACTTGAGTCACGCCAAAGATCAGACCTGAATCACAATGAAAAATATGTTTTAATTGAACCATACAATTCATTTCAATCAAAACGAAAAATCGACTTCAGTCAAGTTTAAATCAATCCCTTGATTCAAGTCCTACTTTGATTTAATCGTCAAATTAATCTGAATCACGTTGACAAATCGATTTGAATCTAGTAAAGTTGATTCGCATGGACTTAAATAATATAATTGAACCGATTCAAAAAACACCCTAAACTGAAACCGGAAATGAATTTAAATTATAGATAATTGACTTATTATATTGAATCAAACCGAAAAATCGTATATTTTTAACTTATGCGTTGCATATATTCTCTATAAATTCACACCCTTCAAAACAAATTTCACCTTCAAAGCGTAATCCCGCTAACTACCTCCCCTCGAATTTTGATCTCATTTTTCCACTTTCCACCCTAGAATTTCCAATTACACAACACTCCGTAGGATACAAGCGCGATACACAGTCACCATTTCTCTTTGTTTTTGCTGTACGTTCGTCAGTTGCATCGATAGACTCTTTTAATCCAACCACCCCCTCCCCCAATGTTTGTGATAGTGTATTTTTCCCGGATTCTGTTGTATATTCCCCCTTGACCAGTCGGCAACCTGAGCTCGGTAAATAAAGAAATTTTACGATAAACAAAAAAATAGAAAAATATCCTAGTCAATTCTGAATTTTTCCACAAGAATGAACAATTTACGGATATGAATATTCGAGTTATACTCCGTTATTTTTATTTTATCTAGTGTTCAATTCCTTTACATCGAATAATTACAATTCTCCTATTTGTTGAATTATGCAGTCAATTATTTGCAACAGGATCCACCAAAATTGCCAGAAATGTGGATTAAGTTTCAAGCGAAAGAAAAAATATCACCTTTTAATGAAAAAATCGCGAATTGATGAGACATTGCCCTTAAAAGGCTATTTGGTCGGGGAAAAATTCTCAGTTCAGCCTGAGAATAAACCAATTCTTCAAGACGTGGCAATATAAGGGAAAGGATTTGCGTATTCGAACATTGTTCCTTGTGATATTGTCACTGGCGAATTGGAGCGCAATAACGGGCACCAGCTGTTAACTCTGCAATAAGAGATGAAGGCACGTGACCCAAAGCCCGCGTTACCGTTTCCCAAGATCAATAATAATACCCCCAGAATCAATCAATCCGACCGGTCATGACAGAGATATTTCATCCGTCCGTACAGAACTAGATATATCGCCATAATATCGCAAAACGCATTTCTCGCGCCCTTACCTCGCGCGCCTACCTCCGCCCCTGGGAATACATTTCTCTCAGAATGTTTAAGTACAAAAAAAAACTTGGAAATTTGCCAACGATAAAGTCACGGGAATTTTTAGCGAAATTTTTCATAGAATCATTTAATTTCTTGAGTACTCAGTAATTATGAATATTGAGTATCATATAATATAATATATTATATATGCTATATCTGTAAGAAAATAATAAATAAATAATAGAAATTTATATAGTACATATACTATATATTATAGATTTAATAGAAAAATTGAAAACTTGAAAATTATCACTGAAAAATATTATCCGGGAGTATACTATTTCTTAAACTGGAATATGTACTTTTTTATGGATATGCAATTTTATTTTTCTTTTTATTTTTCGATTATTTGTCTAAAAATAAATCCATGCTTCTTTTTCGTTCACCACACGAGGTTAAATATAATATATATATTTAATATAATTATAAAAATCATGATTGGGAATTTCAAAAGTGAATGAGTTCTGAATTCAAATTAACCGCCTCAGATGACTGAACCAATGAGAAATAAATGTGACAGATTTTATATAGACATACCGCTAGCCTGATTGGCTTTCCTTTTTATAATAGGAATAATAATAAATCTACGATACACAATAAAATAAAAAAGATTCAGATCAACAAAAAAAATGGAGGTGACATTGTGCCTGAAATTGCTAAAAAGTTGCGAAAGTACAAGTAAATTTATGTGACAGAAGTAAACGGATTTGCGGATTTTTCGCTGAAAAAATGGATTTGGCGATAGCACGTGGGTTTCCTCAGAGGGTATACCCGAAATAGATTGATGACCATCTGCGGAATGGCCGATGGAGGTCAGACGGGTGGTCAGGTATGCACGTGAATTTTTCACCAAGACGAAGTAAAAATAAAGCAAAATGGAGTCGGGTGTTCTTGGAACTCAACTCGTTAGACTTCCACTGGAAGTCCAAGTGGCGCGGAATCGGCGCAAAAATGGCTCACAGGCATTATAGTTTGTCTTTTTTTACCCCTTCAGGCTTCTTTCGCTGCGAACTTTCAAGCAGAACTCGGCTTGAATCGGCTAATCCAAGGGTGGGGGATTTCCTGTGTCTCTCTCAGCACCAAATGCTGTCTGGAGGTCGAACGTGATCGCGAATCAAGAGCACATAACGATTACCCGGAGGAAACTCCGAGGAAAAAAGGAAATTGTGTATTCAGGTCGTTCAGTCCGCTGGTAACTGGATCCTGAAAACTCAAAGAGGCATTATCCAAGTACTCAATCTTTCAATTACCTTCAAAACTACATGAATGTAAAATAAACATAACTGGAGATTACTGTCCCAGCAATTTTTATTTTTACAAATTTTCACGGTTTTCAGTCATTTTTATTATTACTAGATACTAACACGCGCATATTTTATGATATGTGATGAAAGAAAAAGAACCATGGAATTGATTTTAGATAAATAATTTTTCCAAATTAAAAAATGAAATTACATATCCAAGAAGAGAGTGCATGTATCGGCTTAAAAAAACATTTTCTATAATTTTCCATTTTTTTCTTGAATTTATAATATATAAATAATAATAATAATAATAATAATAATTTATAGTGTATATGTAATATTATATCATGATATTTAATTTCTTTGGAAAAACGAAAATTTAGTGTTTTTTATGATCTCTGATTGAGTAATTACTGAACTGAAATAAATGAAAAAAAAAACTGGGGGATGTACTGGAATTTCACAGGAAAATCGAAAAAAAAAATCCATTTGTTTTTCCACAATGAAAGAATGAAGAATATTTATCTTTAATTGCGTAATTTTCCACGAATTTGTGGGAAAAAAATTATGTAAATGAGAAACTCCCCTCGTCATTACTTGAATTGTCACAGAATTTTTCATAGACTTTTTTCCTCTAAATAAAAAGTTGGAATTGTGGTGAAAACCGGGCGAAATCCCCCAGCGGCAATTCCGATGTATTTAGTCCTCGTCACAAGACGATAAATCGTTCTTACGGATATTCACCAGTCGTCCGATCTCTACGACTCAATAATTGATACATAAATTCAACTCCGACGAATTGAAATCCTTCGCATCATCATTCCACCCTCTCGCCTCACGCTTCGGGCATTAAAATACGAGATTTCGATCTATCGGAGCTTTTTTTTTCACCTCCTACTCCCAACAGCTTGTCATTTCCACCGGATAAAATCGAGTAGAGTGAATTCTGCTCATTGCATTCCTCAAATTCGATAAATCACTTCGATAAAAACTCGCGAATGCAGTCCTCACGCGTCCCTCGTTTTCCGTGAATGCTTTTTGTTATTTAAACAATTCAAATTTCACATTTTTATGACATTCAAGTTCTTAGAATATTTCGCTTAATCTCTTGGATAACGCAAAATTTTATTAATTTATTTAGAAAACATGAACGTTTCTCTGAAAACCTGCAAAATTCCTCGATTTTCTAAAAAACATCTCAAATATTTATCAAATAGGATTTTTATCCTATTTAAGTCCCTCTGAATTTTCAAGAAATGCCTCATTAAAAAATCGAAATCTCAGGGAATAATCACTGACAACTATAAATATAAATTGTATTTATATTTCATTCTCTTTCTCATAAAACCTGAAATTTCCGATTTTCTCTCACTCGCATTATCACTAATTACTCCGACAATCACTCGTCACCACTCTATGAGAAAAGTAAATGAAAAATCCATAAATAAATGAAAAAACTCTCTTGACGTGCGGTAAATCTGGTGATATTTCTCCGTAATCATCTCGACAATGAACTAATCCAACGATTTCTGTTACGTCATGCAATTTTTCACAGAAAATAGAGAGAATCGTTAGAAGGTGAGGGGATGGGGTGGTAAATCCTGGGTGGAGATTGTGAGATTGTCAAGTATGGGGTATTTGGGTCCGAGTCAAGGACCGCGATGAGAAGTGCAGTGGAGAAAAAAGTGGTTACCCGATAGGGAGTTGATTTATGGTCAACCTCCATTCGTGTAAGAGGACTCCCTCCCTCCTTCACCCTCCCATCAGCTGTTTTACTCATTCGCGGGGTCGACGTCGAGACCGCGACAGCCCGGTTAAGGAAAAGGGTGGGCGGTTTTGCTCTTTGATGTGGTTTTCCTTCCACGTCATTGCAGTTGACGTTTCGCGAAAGGAATGGATTTTCTTCGGGGTCGAGGTGGGCTTTTGGGGTTGCGCCATGTTTGCGAAAATTTGACAACGACAGGATCAACTCGTGATGATGTTGTGGGAAAATTCATGTGCAAATAGTCACAAGTTGATTGATTTATTTCATGGACAAATTTTTTTGTCGAGATTTTCTGTTTGCATATTCTGGAAATTATTATTACGCAATTCCGCTGAAATTCCCTTTTACGAGTCATTTGAGTCGCTTTAAAGTGAAAATTTGAAATAGAATAATAATAATAATAATAATAATAATAAAGGTGATTAGTATTGCAATGGTGCTACTGTTGTTATTATTATTATTTTATTCTTCCTCATCCTAGAATCAAAATTTTTTTTATGAATCGAGATCAAACGCATGAATAATATCACTCGATTAATCTTATTTTATGATTTCTATGGTGAATGGTGACTGAAATGGAATAAATTGTATCAGTGAACGAGAAGTAATTACATTTCCCGATGAAAATGGTTTCTATTTGATTTCCAACTCTTATGCTTCTCGTGTGAAACCATCACGATCGAGATTGCATTGTTCAATAATTAATGCAGAAGTATTCATGGATAAATTTATCGCCGCAGAGACCATCTCAGTGTTTGTCAAATTATCCACCAATAGAATGGATGAACTGACACTTTGCAAGTCCCTGTCATCCCCTGAATTTTTAATTTCCATCATGCCAATTATTGAGAAAAATCTTTACCTCAATCATAACGTGTTGAAAATCCCGAGCTCAGATATCGGGTCTCATTGAAATTGATCTATTTGGGGGAAAATTCTGGATGTGTCAGATAAAATGATAGGCCCGGTGAAATAAGAGATATCACCCGGGTAATAAAAAATTGTAATGGGAATATTTTTTCCAAATTTTCCAAAAATTCCTGGAAAACTTTTCAGAAATTTTTTTTCGTGAAATAAAAAAAAATCGGGAAACAAAACAATCATATTTGTGGGAAATGTTTTAAAACGAAATGTTGTGAAATAAAAAAATATTCCGATTACAATTTTTTTTCCCCGGGCAGCTTATTGAATTTTTGATTTTGAACCCCCGGAGGAATTAGAAATTCGAGTTATAATTTTTCTGAATTTTCAACCCATCGAAAATTGCAGTGCATTTGACGTTCAATGCAATTTGCCGTCAATTTGAACATTCATTTAACAATAAATTATTGTTGTATTCAATTATTATATATGTATAATTAATATATATAATTAATATACATAAAATTCTTATATTTATATATATATATAATTTATTTATATATATAAATTTTGCCTAGAGGCGGAGAGAGCAAAAAAATTTTGAAAATTCAAAAAAATTTAAACGGTAATAAATTTCGAGGGTAAGATCGGCAAGACGAAATCGACCCGCCACTCAACGACGTTGTTCCTAAATCTGAAACATTAGATTAACAATTTCGATTAAAAAATCCACGATATGTTTTGAAGAGATTATGATTGTGATGTCGATTTTTCCCCTAGCGCAATGACTAACTCAATACACAATGGCCACTCTGATTGACTCAAACGACAAGCTATCGGTTCATCCAACGAGACTCGGCATGTACTCACTATGTACATCAAACCGTGGAATTGCGTACTCCCAGCTAATCGCGGAAACAAGACCAAATGCATCATGGTACTCGCTACATACCACTCTCCCGTAATTACTGGGCTGTGTCCAGGCGTTATAGCAGAGACATCTTCATGCCAATCATCCAGGGAAACCCTGGAATAGCCTAGATATATTGGACCACTGGATATCAGAAATTCCACTACCGAGATTTACGAGTTCCACTCATCATCGTTACACTCCGGCACACTTTACGACTTTTTCGTGAGTGCACATTTTTATTTTAGTCTTTGTATAAAGACTATAATATTCTTCATGTCCTCTTGATATTCCTTTTCGCCTCAAAAATTTACCGAAATTTAATCTCTTGTGTACACATCTCCCAAAACCAAAATAGGTTTTTTCATGAAAATGCCTCGTGAACGATTCAAGGTCGACCCAAGTCTTTTTTAATTAAATTTAAATCTATAAATCACTATTTATTCAATTCACACGATGACCTTGAGACCCTTCGCTGAAGATCAATTCAGTGAACACTAAACTTTACGGAAAATTGACTTATCGCATTTCCTCGGCCCTAAATTGTTTGCTCAGCGAAATGAACACGTTTGTTGACTCCCCCTACTTATCACAAGTCAACAGCAAGTGAAAATTAGTAGATAAACAAACCAAACTAAAGGATAATTACCACAAGCCAAGTTTCGGACGATGTGCTTATCACGTACATGCGTTTCTAGAACTACTTGCTTAAGATTTCCCTTATCTATAATGTCTCAAAGGTTTTTTCCTCATAAAGCACTAGCCTGGAAAAATTTCCTTCATGACACTGTGCTTTTATATTAGTTGAGCGCCGCGGAACAGACGACGCGAAACTTCCTTCATTTCCGTCGTAAATTTCAAGTTTCCCATTTAGAATCCTCTCCTCCCTCCCATTGTCTCCTCGCGCCCCCATGCATTTTCATTGTATAAATGATATGTTCTAATTTCATAAATTTTGCGCGATACAAAGGGAAATAATAAAACTACTTGGATAGAAATTTTCTCAAAAATTATGATATTCGAAGTTCAAATTTTTGTTGGCCTAGTAACCAAAGTCAATAATTTTCAAGGTGATCCAAATCGATTTATCAACTTGATTTAACTTGATTCTTTGATTCCATTCAATTCAATTCGAATCGTCAATTTGATTTAACTTAATTTTACTAATTGACTCTATGCCACTCATCAACTTGATTTAATTTCTATTTTTGACTTGATTCAAGTTGATTAATCAACTTGATTCAAAGCGATTTATCAACTTAATTTAATTTGATTTTTTAATTTCAGTTAATTCAACTCATTAACTTGATTTAACTTGATTTTTCGACATGGTTTAGGTTGACTTATCAACTTGATTCAAATTGATTCTTTAACTTAATTTACTTCGAGTCTTCGACTTGACTCAATTCGACACATCGACTTGATTTAAGTTGATTTCTCGATTTCATTC